ATTAAGACAAACCATCTCACTGTGTTGTCTTCAGGATCATGTGTTAGCGAATAACTGTGAGAAATGCCCCTCAAGGACTTGAGAAAATATTCTCAAAGATACTTCAAGTTGAGTGATAGGATATTGTATTTATACTTGGCAAAGAGCAGTGAGTCTTAAAATTTGGTTCTGGGACACTAATTTCTATGAACTCCTTGTATGTTCAACATTAGTGTTAACTACTTGAATTGAGCACAGAAGAATAAAACAATAGAACCACAGCTTGAATTATTTCACAGTTGTCCATTCCCTGGAGTATTTGTGATTTCACACAGGTGATTATTGAGAACTTGTGGATTACAGAACTCCAGCTTCACAGAAAAAGGGTGACCAAGAAGGTATCACTTCAAATTCTGACATGGAAATAGCTTCTCACATGGAAAGCTGGCTGGAAGATTTTACTAACATATGTATCGCATTTTTTAGTTCATTAATTATATCTGTATTCTTTCCAATAATATTTAAACATAATGTAAATATTATGTATAAAATTGAAGAAAACCATAATGCATTCTGTTTTTTTCAAGACAGAGTTTCTCCTGTATCTTCCTCTGTAGACCAGACTGGCCTCAAACTCACAGAGATTTGCCTGGCTCTGCCTCCCGAGTGCTGGGATTAAAAGTGTGCACCACCACTGCTCAGCTCATAATGCTTTCGTAATATTCTTCAATAGAGACATCTTGTGAGGACTACTCAGTGATAGCTTTCTACAATATATGTGTGGGTACTATTTATTATTTCATGTTTAATGCATCTCCTTACATACAGCATTAAACTTTAATAATTTATATATTTTTAAAACTTCTGTGCATGTGTGTACCTACATAAGTTTATGTGTGCCATGTGTGGACAGGTATCCTCAAAGACCAGAAAGAGTAAGATTATGTGTAACTGAAGTTACAGGCAGTTGTAAGCTGCCTGCTATGAGTTCTTGACCCGAATCCTGGTCATTTGAAAGAGCAATAATTGCTCTCAACTGATGAGCTATTTCACCAGCCCCCTAGTATTATACTTCTAATGAATTATATCATTTAAAAAGTGTAAAACAGGTGTTCCTGTGGTATGACTGAGCATCCTTTGAGTATATGCCCAAGAGTAACATAGCTGCATATCGAAGTAGGTTGAATCCTAGTTTTCTGAGAAAACACCACACTGACTCCCAAAGTGGCTGTACAAGTTTATGCTCCCACCAGCAGTGGAGGAGTGTTCCCCTTGCCCCACATTGGCCCCAGAATGAGCTATCACTTTTTTTTTTTATCTTAGCTATTCTGACAGGTATAAGATGGAATCTCAGAGTCATTTTGATTTGCATTTCCCTGATGGCTAATGATGTTGAACATCTCCTTAAGTGTTTCTCAGCCATTTGCGATTCTTCTGTTGAGAATTCTCTGTTTAGATCTGTACTCCATTTTTTAAATTGGATTATTTGGTTTGCTGATATTATAGTTTCTTGAGTTCTTTATAAATTTTAGAAATCAGCCCTCTGTTGGATGTAGAATTGGTGAAGATCTTTTCACATTCTGTAGGCTGCCATTTTGTCCTATTTTTGGTGTCCTTTGTGTTACAGAAACCTTATGTATATTTAACATTAATTTTAAATTTTCACATCCATCTAATATATTTTTAATAGAAAATTTAAACTTTTATTACGTATATTCATAGGGATAAGAACTTTTTAGCTTTTCATTTTGAAGTAATTACAGAGGGTCACTAAAAATTACCAAACACATTGAACAGAAAGGTCTCATTCGTCCTATGCTCAGCTTCTTCCCGTGTTAATCACTGCACAGTACAAAAGAAAAATGGAGTTGACATTGGTACATTCACAGTGTGTGTATATGTGTGTATATAATTTATCACGTCAATAGCATCTTGTCATACAGTGTGAAGACAGATTGCTTTCATGATGCTCATAGGGTTCTTTCTTGCTACCCTACCCAAGCCACATTACTCTTCCACAATATATTACTTCAATTCTGTATTTTTTTTATTTCAAGAATGTTATACGAATGGAATCGTATAGTACACATCATTTTGAGCTTGCCTTTTAAAATCAGCATCATGTCCTTGAGGGCCATCCAAGATATATGTATCAGTAGTTTGATCTTATTTAAGTTGACTAGCATTCCAATACAATAAGATTTAGTTATCTTTTTTTAGGTTTATTTTGTTTATGTGTATATTTTCATACGTGCATTCTATGTGTGTAAAAGTGCCCTTGGAGGGCAGAAGGAAGCACTGGACCTCCTGAGCTAGAGCTGGAGATGGTTGTCTACCTCCTAACATGGGTGATGGGAACTGAACCAGTGTCCTCTGGAAAAGCAGCAGGTGCTATTAACCACTGAACTATCTCCACAGTCCCCAGTAGTTTTGTTTTAAAGAATACTAAGTTTGCTTTAGTTTATGTTATGGGTTGAATTGTACTATTAATCTAAACTCTATAGTCAAAATCTAACTCTCAGTTCCCAATAGTGTGATATATTTCACAATAAGTTTTTACTGAGTGATTAAGGAAACATGAGATCATATGAGTGGTCACAATTAAATGACTGATGCCCATGCACAAAGAAACTTTTAGGGGACTGGATACAAGAGGAAAGACTATGTGAAGACATGGAAGAAGTTGGCCAGTTTGAAAGCTTAGCAAACCATCGCAAGGTAGCATTAGTCCTTCTGATAACTTCAAGTCTACAGCACTGTGAAAGAGATTTCTGGAAGCCACAGAGTGCATGGTGTTTGTTATAGCTGATATAGAAACTTACAAAGTGTATAAATCTAGTTTTATTTTTATAAATTTGTGTTATATGTGTTTACTGTTGCTTTCTGTTATACTCTGTTGTATATCCATATAATTTAAGATTGCTTCTTAAGAGACATTTTAAATCTTTGTTTCTTTTCTTTTTCACATTCTGCAATGTAATTGTGTTGGAGGAGAAATAAAGACACAAAAAGGCATGAGCATTTGTGTCTGACGACATCAGAAAGAAATTCTGGAGTGATATAATGGGTACATTTTGCCAAGTTTATCACATTTTAAGTCAGTTTAAGTCCATTTCATAACATTACATGAACAATAGTATTTCAATGTGTGTGTGTGTATGTGTGTGTACACTTACCTCTGTTTGTGTGAGTGTGTTTATTTAAAGGGGTATAGTATCATGGTTAAACATGTTAGCAGGGAGCAGTGTGAAGAAGCATCAAGAATGATCCCCGAGTGAACCAAACCAGCATCATCCTCTTGTTCAGTGTCTATGTCCCCAGCCACCAGCATGCCCCAAAGAAAGGCTGGAGTGGATGATCAAGGAGATGAAGCCAAGATGAAGGACAAGCCATAGAGATGATCTACAAGGTTATCTGCTAATCCTGCTCCTCCAAAGACAGAACCGAAGCTGAAAAAGGACCCTGCAAAGAAGGGAGGGAAGGTACCTGAGGGGAAGAAGGGGAACTCCGATGCTGGTAAGGATGCAAATAATCCTGCAGAAAATGGAGATGCCAGAGCAGATGAGGCACAGAAAACTGAAGGTGCTAGAGATGTCAAATGAAGTGTATGCTTTTTTAAAAAAACAGCATACTTCTGGTGACTACTACTTGAAATACTATTTTTCATCAAATTTTATAAAAATGCAGAATTGTTTTTTTTTAAATCTATGTTGCTAGCACACAGAACACTTCATTTTTTGGGGGGAGGGGCATATGTCACTAACAAAATATCTCCCAAATTAGATTGATGATGGAAAGCATCTTATCCTGATAATTTTGAAAGACCCCTCTTGGCTCTCAATAGAGACATCCTGGTATTGACATATGTGGCCATCATGGCACAAATGCCTTGTGGTGTGGGAAAACTCTAAATTCATTTTTATATCCTCCTCCTGTATCATCAACATAGATGTAGCTCCCTTAAAACCAGAGACCTGACCCCCAGAATTGGTTTTCCCAGTCTATTGGGCAATCTGGACTTTGTAGGAACATTGCCGAGTGTCCCCAAAAGAGTGGTGGTTCCTTTTATGAAAGATTGTGTATCTTCAGATTGATAATTCTTCCATTTTCATCTCATTTCCTGAAAGTCGGGGTGAGCTTGTGAAAAGCTGTTAAATAACATCTTCAATGTGAAATGTCAACCCTCTTCTAAGCTCTTCCCTCTTTTAAAAGCATCAAATGGGGACTTCAACAGGTTTTACAGTGGCCTTTCTGGTTTTGGTAGTCTATACAAGAAGGGAGTTTGGAAGTTCTTGTATATCACTAATGATTGCTGCCCATGTCCTGCATGAAAAAACCATGACTATTAATGGAAATTATCTTTAATAAAGCTGGATACAGTTTGAAAAAAAGTTAGCTGGAATGTTTTTAAAATAAAGATTAATTATAATAATAATAACGTTATTATTTGTTTTATTTGACATATGACAAGAATGGCAGCATACATGGGCCAATTCTAACTCAGTGCATTTAGCAACATTTTATTTATAGCTACCTTTCATTGGCAGAATTAAATATGCACTTATTAAGAAATATTGGCATCTGATTATATTAAAAACACAAACTTCCATTACAGAGAAGCATTTATCTTATCAGGCCATATTGCTTAGGATATAACAAAACTCTTTCTTCAGCCGGGCGGTGGTGGCGCACGCCTTTAATCCCAGCACTCGGGAGGCAGAGCCAGGCGGATCTCTGTGAGTTCGAGGCCAGCCTGGGCTACCAAGTGAGTTCCAGGAAAGGCGCAAAGCTACACAGAGAAACCCTGTCTTGAAAAACCAAAAAAAAAAACAAAAACAAAAAAACAAAAAAAACTCTTTCTTCATCTTGAAAATGAAAGCAAAGAGATCATGTCTGCAGTGTATTGCATGAACATCACAACTCTATTGAATATAAGCCTATACTGAACACAAGCCTATCAGGGATGTTAAGCATAAAAAAGAACTGGGAGACAGTTTTGAGAGAACAGCAAAGGGACTTACCATCTTGATCTGTGGTCACTGTAATAGCTGTGAATGGCTTGGGAGAAATGCTCAGCTCAGAGACTCCATTCATAGCTTCTATTTCAAAGGTGTAATTGACATGAGACACGAAGTCAAGTACGATCACAGAATTGTTGATCAGTCCAGTATGTCTTGGGATGAAGCGGAGTCCTCCACCACAGTCCTCACATTGGCTGGTGTCTAAGCCACATCTCTTACAGACTACACTGTATGTGAGGTCCTTCCTCCCTCCTGTGTCACTAGGTGGGCTCCATTCCAGAATAAGGGCGGTTTCATTGATGTTAAAAGCCACATTTCTAGGAGCTGAAGGTGGCCCTAGAAAAAAGCAATGAGAAAACAAAATGTACATGTATAGAACAATGAATGATAGTGGTGCTACATTAAAATTTTCATGAGTACATGCTGTTGATCTTTAATATTAGTTGGAGATCATTTTCTTTTTTTTTTTTTTTTTTTTTTTTTTTGGTTTTTCGAGACAGGGTTTCTCTGTGTAGCTTTGCGCCTTTCCTGGAACTCGCTTTGGAGACCAGGCTGGCCTCGAACTCACAGAGATCCGCCTGGCTCTGCCTCCCGAGTGCTGGGATTAAAGGCGTGCGCCACCACCGCCCGGCCATTTTCTTACAAGAACCATAAAGAACTTGTTTAAATATCTGATAAAGCTAAAAAAGAACATCCTTAAGGATGAATACAGCATATTTTTAATTTTTGAGTACTGAAATTCCAACATTTAATGTCAAAGTCTTCATATCTCCAAAGTATACTTTTAGAATTTGTTTGCTGTAAAATATGTAATGGATGGAAATTATAAATTATGAGATGGCCATCCCTATATCCTCATTAATTATATTAGCATTTTCACAATTTGAAACCAACTGAGGAATGTATACTCAACACACTGTGTTTAGCCTTCATACCATCACTACTGTATGTGTAGACAAAACACCCATTCATTTCCTTTGCCAAACCCATAGAATCTATTTTCCAATGATTGGGAAAAAGTGTCTTAAATTTAGGGTGGGCAGACTATTCAGAAATGGATATCAGAGGCAGCAAAAATCCCTTTTTTCATAGTGCCTTGCCAACTTGAAGTCATACATGCATTGTGACATAAGGTAAAATCATTGTGTTTTTATTTAAATGATTTTCACTAAATATAAGTAACCTAGACCTTAACTGTGAAAATGTCCCTAGAGAAGACTCAGCCTAGCCTTTCTTCATTGTCATCAAGGACACATTCTTTCTGGTTTTCTTACCATATCATAACACACAATTATTCAACAGATTTTCATTACAAGTCATATTGTAAGATACTAATCATCTTTCATACTCATGCTAGTCCTCCACATCTCAGTTATTTTCTTTTCATTGAGCAAATATTACCCAAAGGTCTCATCAGTGCCAGACTCTGTGTTGAAGGCTATTTTAATGCTATGAAATCCATGTACTGTGAGAATATTGTTTATGAGACATGATTGAAACATAACTCATTATACAAGTACTGGAACAAGCAACATTCTGCCACAACTTAGAAGCTTGGTTTTAAGAAATCCAGAATAGTTCTGTAAATTTGTTTTTATCAATAAAAACTATTTAGGGAATTCTGCAATCCTCTTAGAAGAGAAATTCAAATTGTGATGTAGGCAATCTTCTGAATATCAAGCTATGATCATATTTGTTCATTAGGTCAATGCTTTATTTAGTGACTACTATGTGACAGATACTCCAGTAGATGTGGTACACATTATTCCTGCTTCACTGCAGTTAACATTTAGGGGAACAGCAAGAAAAACATTAGATTAATGGATTCAAGTGATAAAAAAATCAGAGTTCTAGAATGTTAACAGGCAGGAACTGTAGTAAAAAAACTACCAGAAGGAATTTAACTTTTGGTAACGTCTTAAGGAAGCATTGGAGGTGATTAAAAAAATGGTCAGAGTGATGGGAAGAATATTAGGGGTCAAAAGTATGTTGTTAGTCAAGAAAAATCTTGACAGTCATGGAACAGACAGGGAAGCACCTCGGTTAGAAATCAGATGGAGAATCCATGAAGTGAGTTTTAAGGACTAGGAAGGGGCACCACCGATAACTCAAGATAGTTACACTGCTTGAACAACTAGAAATTTCCCTGTGTTCAACAGAAGAAAATCTGTGTGTGTTTGCACACATGTGTGTGCATGCATGCATATGTGTGTGTATGTGCAGGCATGATGTATGCATTTGTGGGTTTGTGTATATGCATGTGTGTGTGTATATGAAGGCATGCACATGCCACAGAGCTCACATGAAGGTCGAAGAACAACCTTGCGTGTCAGTCTTTACCTTCTATCTTTTGGAGACATGGTCTCTCTGTTGTTTTTTCCACTGGGTATAATTCACAATCTTTTGGCTGTTCTCCACGTGTGCTTCCTTTCTCCTTATGGGAGCTGGGATTATAAAGGGCTTACTCTATGCATTCCACTCTATAAAGCATAGATTTGAACTCAGTCCCCCACATAAGGACTTTTCTATATACCAAGCCATCTTCCCAGGCAGGCCTGAAGGTTTTAATGTATGGAAGTGATATATTTTAAGAGCACATCAACATAAAGCATGATGCGGGTTCTGAGAACAGGGGGAATGGCAAAAAGATCTCCTATATTCTGTTGATGAGCAGAATATTAGCCATAAATCATCTGAAATACTCAGAAGTGTTATCTGGCTCATCTTTCCTCTAGTGCCATTCTGATGTCAGCTACATATAGGCAGGAATCTCCAGCTACCTGTATTTCTATTACCTAATGCCAGACCTAGTTATGTGATGGGAATTTTTATTAAAGTTTGCTTTATGTCATTTCATGTTTTAGTGGGCTTGCAGATATGTGTGTCTTTAGACAAGAAAATAAGGAGAAACACAGGATCAAATGTGCATTTTATTTTCCTCCTAAATTTATGCATGGGGATAAAAATTCATTTTCCTAATAATGCCTCACTGTGACAACATTCATATTGCTGATTTTTCTCTTATTTATAATTGATAACATGAATTATTATTCACATATAAGTCTACAAGTAGGAAACATTATCAATTATGTTATGGGTGTCCACAAGTATATAATTATCTGCTTGGACATATGTTAAAAATTTAAAAAATTGAGACACCCTTCTTACTCAAGGGCCCTCACACCAATTTGCATGATGATTAAATAGCTTTTTAATTGCTGTTAAATTATGCCAGCTAAACTGTGATTTCATGCAAATATTAAGCTGTAATGACAAGTACTGAATCATTTACTAAGATTTAGAACTTGGAACCAAGAGAGACAATTAATTCTAATCCTCAGATTCAACTAAATGATGTGTCACTGGGCTTTTCTGAATGTGGCCTGATTGCTTTGTTATCATTTATAAATTATACAAAGATTATATGACATCCAGAAAACATAACGTGGCAGCAATAATGCATTTAGAGACATTTGTATTGAAAACTCTTAGGGATTCCCTTGTGTTGATTTTTTTCTTTGGGAAAAGAAATAGCTCACATCGGATAGAAGACAGCTCCTATCCTCGCCCTCCAGACCGACTTTATAATAAGAATACAATTACTTAGAACTACAGCTGCAGTTATCAAGCTGAGGATGCAAAAAGCTTAAAGTAAAGCTAACTTTATTTTTGCTACACTCTCTACTACTAATGTTATTTTCAACTGGGGTCTCCACTCAGAAACAACTTTTGCTTCAATTTGGATTTTCTCTTTACAATTTGAAAGACTAAAAGCCCGATGCTGAAGTAAGATCCCCAAGACCTAGGACAACTGTTTCTTCTTTTCCTCTTCCCAATAAAGCACCTGGTTCCACAGATGCTTCTTCCTCTCTCCCCACAGAGGCTAGGTATGTTATAGCTTTGCTTTATTTTTTCTTAATGAAAATTGTTTTAAAGTGTAACTGTGTCTTTCTAAATATCACTGTGCAATATATGAAATCCCGCATGATATCAAATAAAACCAAATTCAGTGTTCAAATAAGAGTCTTCTGGCCCATTGCCACCAGAACAAAAGTAATGCAATTTGTTTTGCTGTGTTGACTCTAGCATTTCCTCAAAATTGGTTCATTGCAGGTTATTATCTAAGAAATATGTGGAGAAATACCAGAATTCTACAGAACAGTCTAAATCAGTAGTTCTCAACCTCCATAATGTTGTGACCCTTTAATACAGTTCCTCATGTTGTGGTGATCCCCAACCATAACACTGTTTTCATTGCTACTTTATAACTTTAATTTTGTTGCAGTCATGCATCATAGTGAAAATATCTGTGTTTTTCGATGGTCTTGGGTGACACCTGTGAAAGAGTCACTTGACCTTCAAAGGGATTCTATGAGCAAGGGACATCAAGATCATGATGGGAAAATGTACAGAGACGACCAGCCAAACTAGTGGAAATGCATGACCAATAAACAATGGACCAATAGCTGAGGAGCCCCCATGGTACTGGACTAGGCCCTCTGGATAGGCGAGACAGTTGTTTAGCTTGAACTGTTTAGGGGGCCCCCAGGCAGTGGGATCGGGACCCATCCCTGGTGCATGAGCTGGCTTTTTGGAGCCTAGTGTCTATGGTGGGACACTCTGTGCAGCCTTGGTGCAGGGAGGAGGGGCTTGGACCTGCCTCAACTGAATGTACCAGGCTCTGCTGACTCCCCATGGGAGACCTTGCCTTGGAGGAGGTAGGAATGGGGCGTGGGTTGGAGGATGAAGGCTGGGGGGCAGGAGGAGGGAGGAGAGGGGAATCTGTGGCTGGTATGTAAAATGAATAGAAATCTCCTAATTTTTTTTTTAAAAAAAAAAAAAGAAAGAAAAAAGAAGTTGCAACCCACAGGTTGAGAATCACTGGCCTAAATGTAGGCTGACTGAGAAGTAAAGCAAGTTTAAGGATTATATTTCAGCTTTTGTGTGGTATGTTATTTGCATTTTTTAATCATAATATGTTAATTCTTTAAAAGTCTTCTTAAATTTTCAATCTCAAATGATCATGGATTTCTTTTTTTTGTTGTTTTTAGTTGTTAATAGTAAAGAAAATTAGACCAAAATGTTGTGGTTTGAATCTGAAATCTAAAACTGAATACTATGGTGCTAACCTCTGGTGCTGTTGAAGGTTGTAAGAACTTCATTACACAGAACTTAGATGGAAGAATTAGGTCTTTGTGGGTGTGTCATTGGAAGGGATATTGAAAGGTTGGTTCCTTTGTTGCTTTCTCTGGGTCCATGCTGGCATGAGGTGAGTGGTTTGTTCCAACATGCCCTCTCCACCTTGATGACCTGCCTTGATGATGATCTGCCTTGAT